ATATGGTTCCACAGCGTTTGCGGCCACAACCGCTGGGGTCATTCTGTCGACAAAATGACTGCCATCTGCCAGGGAGCACATGTTTGGCAATATTTTCTGAAGAATGGATAGTACCAGACCAGGGGGACAGTGAATAAGTTCAGAGGGGGTAAAATTGTTACAAGGACAGAGTCAGTCACAGCCAGCAATCCCTTTAGCATTTTTCCTAGTTAATACCACTGCTATGTGGTAGATCATCTCTATACTCCTAATTATGTTTTATTATATGAGATATCCTTGTATTTTTTAATATTTGATGATGTTGTATTTGTCTGCCACGTTTATAGTGGAATGTTTGGAGGGTTGCTTGTAGAACACAGCAACACTGTTTACACTTGTATAAACCCATGACTAGATATAAATGAATGAATGAAGGACCAGTGCATTTAATCTGGATTCATAGAAGATTAATTTTTCCCAGAAGAAAAAAAAAAACGATGTAGGAGGATGAAAAATGCATGTTGGTTGCCTCCGTGGCTTGCTACCCTTGAATGCTGAAAAGAACCCCTTCCAACTTATTTAGAATCTGTATGAAGGTTGGGTTTTTATTTTTGCTAAGGGACATGTAGTTCCAATTTTAGCCCGGGTGCTAGACGAGGCCATCATGTTCATTAACATGTTTGTTTTAAGGATGTCTATATTTATTTCATTTTAATGTCCATTAATATTGTCTATTGTCTATGTTTTTATGCCATAATAATCATTTCTGTTTTTAACATTATTAAAATCTGCATATGAAGAATAGTAAGTGTGCATAATATACATCACTGTGCATCATTTGTATTAAACACACGTGGTGTTATATTGAACACACTGAAGACACTGTTCTCCTTATTGGTGTATAACCGTCCTATAGAATAACTGTATTCACTTTTAATTATGTATTAAAGCGTCAAGAACAAGAAGAATGTGACATGTAACTTTATACGTATGTAACTTTATATTAGAACGTCATAGTGCTACATATATGGTAAAGGAAACAAAAATCCAGTCTTTTGATGTGGTGGTTTTTTTTTTTTTCATGGTATCTAAGAGCAGAATTAACTAACATAGAAATATATTTCAAAATAGGCTGGGGCCTGTTGACAAAACTTATTGTCTGTTCATAGCCTATTATCTTGACATTCTGTCTCACTTTCTATCTCTTGAATGGATATATACATTTATGCAGTATGTGTCTATAACTGTTGTAATAGTTGGACATCTTAATAAACAACTTTTTTTAAATGGGAAAGTTTCTACCATTTTTTTTTGTTTGTTATTTGAGTGAGCACCAATATTAAGAGAGACCATCAGAAATAATTGCACTCTTAACCAATTTACTTTCTTCTAAAATAGATTGTATTGATTATTTTGCACTATACATATATATATATATATATATATATATATATATATATATAATTTATTTCATCCAGAAAAGTATTAGACCTTTATTGCAAGTAAATATATATATTTTTTTATTCACATTAAGTTCTCTGAGAATATATATTAAAGCAAAGTCACATTTGTATAATTCAAAACTCAATTAATGTTTAATGATAAACAGTCATTTCCACTCTACTAATCAGCAGGGAGCCAGGAAGGATTCCAAATAATGAATCAAATAATTCCTTGGAAATGTAATTATGCAGTATTGTATGTGTGTATGACATTTCAGTGTTTGTGTGTGGCATTGAATGCAAAGAAAATCTCACAAAGAAGAGTTTGCATATCCTTTCATTGTGTAACCTTTATAGTTATGAAATAGTATACCGAGGGCTTTTTTATGGTAAAAGCATATACTTAAAAATCTGTGTAACCTTAGGTTATAATATGACAGTAATAAAATTTTCTTTACTAAAATAATGTTAGTCACTGTCTAAAATTATACATCAACATATTTAACCTTAAGGGTATGCAGGTAGTGGTAAGGCGGAACAAGAGATTATTACGCAAACATTACATCTACTGTTAAATAGCATGCAAACAGCTTTTAGAGTTCAGATCACAGAATATAAAGGGGGTAGTAGAGCAGATGTATTTGAGGTGGAGGATGGTCTGGCCTCAGTAGTTTGTTGACCTCTTTTAGGTAGAGAATGAGATTAACTCTTTAAGTGCCTTGAAGACCTATGTTCTATGACTGGCAGTAGAGACAGTAGACAAAAATGTGCTCCCTTCAAAATGTTCCACATTTCCAGCTTTTCACAGATGTAGCAGCTTAAATATAAATAAATAGCACATTTACCTTTTTATATCCAGGTTTTGTTTCAGTTCCTGTAACTTCAGCATGCAAAATATTCATTTTAATTAAACACTGTTGACATGCTACTTTGCTAAAGAATTTCCTTTCTATTGTATTATTTAAATAGACATTTTATGTAAATGTAACTTGTTTTTATTTTTTGTGAAGCAGCAAGACTTTTTGCTAGAATTTAAATAAAGTTTTGTATCAAGTAGGCATGTATAGAAAAAGAAATGTGTGAGAGAAAGTAACCCAGGCTACATTAAATAATGATTCAGAACGATTTAAGGCCTGCTATTCTTTTAAGGATGTAATTTATGTTTTATAGCCATGTTTCAGTTTTCTTAACATTAACATGCCTGGTATTTTCAGTAAATGCTATGAAAATGCTTTTGCTGGTAGGAGGTTAGAATTACAAAACTAAAACAGAAATTGGTATTAGATGTAAAGTTCACTCAAAATACATAATCACCACCGCCAATCTGATTAGGAAAACTTACTTAGTAAGCTTACAGTTAATAATTGTAACAGAATATTAAATAGGGAGTGGATATTGGAAAGAGTAACACATTAGTTCAGCTGCGTGTTCAAAGCACTGCTGAGGGCCATAATCCTCCCAGAATTAACACTAATTAACATTAAACCCTTTTTTATCAGTAAGTGATAACCTAAGAATATCACAGAAGAACAGGTTGGTCCTCAGCCCTTAAAGGGTTACTATATAATTAATTTAAAAAGTAGGCAGTGACCAAAACAGTTCCCCTATCATTGTTCTCACTGTTTATAATTGTTTAACTCTATATTCGTTTTATAACCTTTGAGAACACATGAAGCTTTTTTAGAAAATATTGAAATTTAAATTTAGATGAAAACGTCCTAATAAACACTTATTCAAATCACAATGTATCAAATAATGCACACTTCACAAGAACAATAAAATACAGGAACAAAAAAAAATGCCTTGTTCTCTATAGAAGATTTATTGATGATTATTTTTTTTATATGACTTAGGGTGAAAGAGATTAAAAATGTTATTGCAGTGCCCAACACTACAGGGGCGTTACTGTTGCAAGTGTGCTTGAAATGGTGACTGCGCTACTAAGTATTACAGCTGCTTTTTACATTCTGCTGGTTTTAAACACTACAAGACTCTTTGCATGAATTGATATATTTATTAGATTAATCTTAGTGAAGGCATTTATTGTGAAATTTCTTGCACAGCCTGGCATTTGATAGAAGTTAAGGTTAGCCCAATGTGTCAGGAGCAGGAGGTCAAAATTGAGTGTACACCATTGTTGAACAAGGCACCATGGAAAGATAGAGGTGCAAACCATTAAAAAATGCAGGAAAGGTATCTGTGTTTATATGTACCTTTATATGATGCTTAAGCTCAGTAACCCTAGTGACTAATTTGAAAGGGTTCAAATAGCCAATACTGTTACCAGCTATCATTTCATGGGAGGTGAAAAGACACAGTACCTTTTATAGGAGATGGAAGTGCACAGTCTTAAGCAGAAAAGTATAGCCATAAGCATAACGATACATATCACAATAATACGAAGGCATTTTGCATTGGTGTGTACAAAACAACAAACATACAAGATGGAGGAACTTGTATAACCAAGTCATAAATAGTAGATAAGTTGCAAGTGAGTGAAAGTATGCTATAGGCGTAACAGAGGAGAGACTCCATATAATGGGCTGTCTTACAAATGAAAGCATTCAAAAAGAAAGAAACCTAAAAACAAAACAAACTGTTATGACCCTAGGTGACAAGTGACTGACACCTGGAACAAATGACAGAGATCGTATCAAGCATTTCAGATCACCGACTTAGCAGCTGAGATATGTCATGCGGTATCTCTTTCCTGGTTCGGCACTTCCGCTATGCGAAGCCGGCCCCGCCCCCTTCTGACGCGGCTCTGACAGTACTTAGGGAGACCGCGCCAGGGAGAAGGCGCTTGGTGATTGTGGGACCTACTTCCGGGTATACACGCCGGCTCCACAAGCTCTGACAAGCCGTCCTAGCCTTTGAGCCAATGCAAGGATTATGCTGCATGCCATAGAGGATTACTGGAGAATGGATACTTTGCTAATTTACAAGTGGACTATAACTCTGAACTCTTGGAGGACAACTCACCTTAACCTTAAGTATATCTTTCAACTATTGTCTGCAATATCATTTATTAATGAACCAATTCCTGCTAGCTCAAATCTTCTCTGCTTCAAGTTACTAATTATATGGAGGGCAACTCCCATCATGCTTATTTACTATGAACTGTTTCTTGGAACCAATTCCTGCTTGCTCAAATCGTCTCTGCTTCAAGTTATTAATTATATGAAGGACAACTCCCATCATGCTTATTTACTATGAACTGTTTCTTGGAACCAATTCCTGTTTGCTTAAATCTTCTCTGCTTCAAGTTACTAATTATATGGAGGACAACTCCCATCATGCTTATTTACTATGAACTGTTTCTTGCTTTGCAAATACTCTCTGCTACCTGCTTAATGTTTCTATTGAAGATTATTCCCAGGAACCTAAAGAATCTTATTAAAAACTTCTCTGAGGAAATACTTATTAATGAACTTTGTATTGTTTGATAACCTGCACTTTCTTCTTATTGGATTATTGCCTATATGCAAATCATTTAAGTTTATCAATCATTAAAACTTTGTTTGATTCTCAAATTGCCAGCAATCCTCTCTTTTCTTAAAGCTACAGTATTGATACTTTAAAGATTCTTCGTTTCTTTACTATTGTAATTAAGGAGTTCTACAAGCTGCAATTGAATTCCAATCCAAATAACCCAAGTAGCATAACACGGTAGGAGCTTGTACCTTGTAGGTATGGCACAAACGGAATTGAAGTAGTTGGGACATAGGTGTGATGTAAGGATGCTGGAGTTGAGCCTTCCCTATCCAAGGAAGCCTGTTATAGTCCTGAAATAGCTAGCAATGATATGGTGTATTTCAGGCATGAGAGATGCTGCTCAGCTTTATTGTGAAGAACTGAAAGGGAAGAAGTGCCAACCCAGTGATATGTAATATTGGGAGTTCGCAGCTGGATTGTAACGGGGTATATTGATCTTCAAGTGTGGCTGCATACATCAGCATAGAAAGTGAGTTTAAATTGATACCTCTGAGTGCCTCCAACAAAAATAGTATTTTGTTTCACAGAGTTTGTATGTCAAAGATTTTTAGAAATGAAAGTAATTTGTCCCTTGAAATAGCAGTCAGATTCTGTGAAGTACATATGAGTTATGCCAATTATTCTTTCTTGCTTGCAATGCTTAAGACATTGTAGAGCTTTCATCATCAAGATTGTAGGAAAACAGCAAATAAAAAAGACTGGTTTTCAGCACTGTCAAAAGAAAAAAAAATGTAACCGGAATACAACATAGTGTTCCACCTCAAGGATACGTAATCTCACCTGATTCACCTCTAAAAGGCTTAGACAATGTGCCCAGCATAAGAAGTCTTGATGCTCTCATACTCAGTCTTAACTTTCTCCAGCTCGATGACTTAAGTTAGCTTATTATTGAGGTAGCTCTTTCTCCATTATGTGTCCTCTCTGCTTCATATGTCTGGAAAAAATCATGAATGGCATAAGGAAAACATCACATGCTGTCCAGACAGAAATACGGTTATAAATATCCAATGTTCCCTAGGGAGTCCTTTACTATTAAATAAACCTTAAAGTCATGGTTGTATTAGTTCCTGCTTTTATCCTCTGTACTAGACTTGTACATTCAGTTTCAAGCAAATATGCATTTTTGTCATCCAAATTCCATAATTCCGAATATGGATGTATCACAAAACAAAATAGAGAACAGTTTTGTTTGATTCATGATTCAGAATTCTGCCTGTGGCAGAAAAAAGTGACAAATAGAGGGGGGAAAGGAGGAGCAGTAAAAATAAACTCAATATTTCTTGAAATAGATTTTTCTTTATCAGTATACTGCATAATATAACAAAATAATATAATTTTAAATATCAGTATACTGCATAATATAACCTAATCATATAATTTGAAATATCAGTATACTGCATAATATAACCAAATGATATAATTTTACATGTCAGTATAATGCATAATATTTTAGATTTGGCCTAACCAAATCTTTTTTTTAACATGTACAAGTATACTCTATACGCATTGTTCCACTGCATTGTGGAACAATGCGCATTGAGTATACTTGTCCATTGCATATATGGATGAATGAATAGGTAAGTTTTTCAAATCAGGCCAAGTCTATTTTATTATCTGGTCATGTATAACCCAGGATTTTACATCACTATGATTCCTGCTTACACAAATTTACACCTATGAACTTTGTACTAAATCTAGACTGTTAACCATTGATAGGCTACTTAATCTTTAACTTTCCAGATGTCATTGTATGTACAACCTTGCCTCTATGACAACAAGCATGTTTTCTGCAATGTTACTGTTTTTTTTACAGGACCAAGCCAAGTATTTAAAACCAAGCTACCAGTTTCAACATAACTGTAGTTGTTTGAAACTAGTTTTGTCAAGTTAGTTTTTGTATACTGATATTGAAGAACATTTTTTTTTAGCTCACTTTATCTGCTTATGGTCCTGTCATCAGATTGCCATATGTATTCTTACAATATTAAGTTATTTTCAAATTAAATAATACCCTCATGTATCAACAACCCCAAATGCCTTGATGTCTGTCATCTTCTCTCTATCACCTCTTCTGTAGGACTCACACAGTGGTCTAAGTCAGCATCTCATACAGCAGGAAACACTCTTGACCTCATCTCCATCAATCTCTGTACCAACTCTAATCTCTCCAATGTTCAATTTTCTCTATCTGATCACCATCTGCTGTCCATTGACATTGGCATACCCTGTAACCAAATGACACCACCCTCACCACATCAGTCTCGCAGAAACCATTGTCTTGACCTACAGCGATTCTCCACCAACCTCTAAAATCTCCTTTCACCAATCTCAAACCTCACCTACCCTAACACTGCAACCTTCCTCTACAATTCCACTCTCTCCTCTCAACGAGACATCATGGCACCTACTACACTTAAATGCAGCAAGTCCCTCCAATTACAACCTGGCACACCAAGCTGACCTGATACCTCCAAAAATGTCCCAGAACTGGTGAATGCTACTGGAGAAAGTCTCACTCTGCATCTGACTTCCTCAACTATAAATTTATGCTGTGCTCCTACAGTCTGGTTCTTTCCTCTTCAAAAGAAAACTACTTCAATTCACTCTCCCGCGAACTCAAACAACTGATTCATGCTTTTATTTTTATTTTTAATGTCTTAATTTTTCTTTTTCTTTTTTTTTTTTAATAATACACATAAATACAGTAAATTCAAAAAAAAGTTAATGAGGATACAGAAAAAAAGAGAAGGGGAAGGAATAAATAAATTTGGAGCTACATCAAATGCAGTTTAACATTATTACATTGGAAAATATTTCAAAACATACATTTTACACATTTCTGAGGTATGCAATGGAGTATACACCAAAGCTTAAAGAATCTTAAATTCTTTCCCCGTTTTACTTATAACGACTATAGCTATAAATCTTTACTTTTCGGTTTATTAACCTATTAGATTGAATTTGGATTTTAGCCGAGGGTGTCTTAGCACATTGATTAATAAATTTTTTGATCACTCAACTCTACGTTAATTTTCCTTTGTCTTAATGATCCTACCTTATAGTCATAATATCATCTTAATATTGCTCTCTATCTACCTATCTCTTGTAGCTCTCCAACTCAAAGCAAATAAACAAATAATTATTTTTTATTTATTTTTTAAAAAGGAACGGGGCGGGTAATCCTAGTACTGTAGCTCACTTCTCGATTTCTATAGAATATTCATATAGTAAGTTAAATTGCTATATTCTCAGCCAGCAAACTCTTGAAAAGGGCTTCATAAGAGAGCAAAAAAAAAAAAAAAAAAAAGAGTAGAATCGGGCCTACAAATATTATCGTATCTAATTTGTATATTTACAATTATATTTTAATATATTTAAAGATGTAGTTGTTGAGTCTGTACTATATATAATGATCTCTAATCTGCATCCATGTTCACCAGAGTTTATTGTATATGCCCTCTGTGACGACACCAATCTCGCCACATTGCATTGGAGAAGCCTGGTTGCTCGCCTGCTGCCTTTGGACTATGGCCCCCTTTTAAAAGACTTTTTTCCATGCAGAAAAGCCATATTCATGCTTTTCTGCCGGTTGTTCGGTAGTTTCAATCTACCGAACAACCGTACGAATGACTGGACCACCTGGGAGCTGGAGTGTGCCGGCAATTAACCTCCCTGAAGCTGCGGTTAACCGCAGCTTAATTGATGAACGCTGGGTGGCCGCCGTTCGTATCCCGAACACGAGGTCGCGGCCATTTTAAACCATACGAATGAACAGCGGTGTTCGCCTCTATTTTCATGGAACTAAAATCGGACACAGTTTTGCGCGAACACCGCTGAAGCCGCCGACCTCCCTTCTTGTTCGGTGAAAGCACACGAATGACCCGGTGTTCGGTATTTTTGTGTGAATGTCTTATACCCCAGATAGGAATCCCATGGAGCCCATTCGTATGAAACTGACTGTAAAGACTTTGGCTCCATGGCGATTAAACTGTAATTGTGTGGTCTGAGTGCCATTCACCTAATAATGTGCACTCAGACCTGAGCTATCTGGGGATATGTTACATGTCTGTGGTTTATGTAGTAAATGTTACTTTGTGCATTTTAAAGTGTTATGCTGGTTTTGTGTTCCCACGTGTGTAATGGAGTTTTGCCTTTGTCTTGGGAGGTAGTTGAGTTACTTCCCAATTATCTCCCAGGGCAGAGGGGAGGAAGCCAGGATGCATTGTGGGAATATACTGTGACTGTGTGTCCTATTTGTATACCTGTCTGTCCCTTGTCACAGTCTCCCATCTGGTCCCCTAGGGGAGTGTCCACCAGGTGGGAGACCTGCATAAAAGCTGGGCAGGTAGCCCTCATTAAACAGACCACTGCTTGACCCTCAACACGGAGCCTTGTCTCGTTCTTGGGGGGATTCACTGTATGCTGTTAGAGACTGATTGCCAGGAGTGTAAGCTGTTCGTCTGCTTTTCCTGTTCGTCTGCTAGCAGCTATTTGGGAGGTTCCAGTTCGGGAGTTGGAGTGCTATTTTGTATCCAGTTTGGGAGTTTGGTGTTCTGCAGTAGCTGTGCCTGGATCTCTGGAAAGGGGGCCGATCGCCTAAACGGTTTTTACCCCTTGTGTGCAAAACGGTCCGTTACAATTGGTGGCAAGCGGCGGGATCGTTCCCACGGACTACAGGACAGCTACAGGAGACACCATTCCGTGGATTTACAATTTGAGGGCAACGCATGTCCCAGTACAGCGACCCTGACAGCAACAGCATGGAACCAGCAGTGGCGTACAGCTACTCAAGGAGAGAGTTTGACAATATGATGGGATTGCGGCTGAAGTACTACGGACGACCCAATCCACCGGAGAAATCGGTGCAGCTTATAAGGAATCTAGTGTTCAAGAATCTGCAACACCGGGCAGAAAGAGAAGGTCAGCTGGCACGTTGGGAAGAACTCCAGCGACAGGTATTGCAGGGAATTGGGAGCCCAGTCTCCATTCCCCAGCGGGAGACTGAATTGCAGGGAATTGGGAGCCCGAGCTCCATTCCCCAGCGGGAGATATTGCAGGGAATTGGGAGCCTGAGCTCCATTCCCCAGCGGCAGGCTGAGTTACAGGGGACAGAGATAGTCGCTCCTGTCCCCCAGCAGCAGAATGAATTGCAGGGAATTGGGAGCCCGAGCTCCATTCCCCAGCGGGAGATATTGCAGGGAATTGGGAGCCAGCTCCATTCCCCAGCGGCAGGCTGAGTTACAGGGGACAGAGATAGTCGCTCCTGTCCCCCAGCAGCAGAATGAATTGCAGGGAATTGGGAGCCCAGTC